AGTGGTTAAGAGAGTACTGATGGATCTGGAGCACCTTTGCAAAAAGTCAGGAGTATTAGTTACACAACTACACTGCACAAACATTTTTTTTCTGCACCTTTGGCAGACGGGGCCATATTACATTTCTGTCTCAACATGAACGAAAAATATTTTCACTGTCTTTTCCTGCAAGGCTCACAAGACAGTTGTTTTTAATAATATATTGAAATGGATGGCACTTTAGGAAGATTGGGCTTTCCAAAGGCAAAAATTCAATTTAACTGTTACTACGCTGCCATGTACAATCTTCAGAATTAGCTGTTCTCTATGAACAAGAAGCAGAAAGGATCTGACTTATTTTTTTAAACTGTAAACAGTGCAATGGAACCAAGTGAGCCATTTTTACCTCCTATATAAAGTATGCAAAGTGAGCCACATCATGCCCATACCCTGGACACTGTCCAGAACAAAAACAATCTACACATTATTCTGCAACAACTGCTTGCTTTATATCAGAAAAAGATGTCCTCATTCAAGAGCTTTCATTCATAGATAAAGGAATTTGTAATAATTTTCCCTCCTTTGGGATCTGGCCTAGTAATCCAGTTCATGGCATACATCAGCTGTCAGAGACCTTCTCAGGTTGTGGCCTGGAATGACCCAGTTTGGGTGAGAGGCAAATGAGCAGGCAGCTACTAGAACCCATGCCCCCTCCCCCCACCATACTTCTTCCTGTGGAAGCACAGAGAGAACTCCCTCTGCTGAAGGCTCCCTGATACCAAAGTCCTATATCTGCAGACCAGAACTGGCCTGTATGCCATAGTTACCAGCACCAGGTGTTCTCTTTTCCATAGCAAACTTCCTGTTCTGAAACAAATTCTACTTCAGTGTCACAAGATAAACAGACGGGACTTCACTAGTGATACAAATCTGTATCTGAACATGCAGTTATTTCTGTTCCTGGAAATCCTTCTCTTTCTTCTTCCCCACCAAGAGATTCTAAAATCCAGAGATTAAATTCAGTGTTGGCAGAAAGAAGCTGTGGAGCCAAGCTAAATCATTTTGATGGGGCTTCCACACAGAAAATCTATGTCTACAGAAGCCAAGCTCTCAGGAAGGACTTTATAAATTAAACATTGCTTTGTAAAACTATTTGGAGCAAATTTTCTTATCAACTTTCCTGTTTAGAAAAATATCAGATCCAAAGCAAAATCAACTCCTGCTCCTTCTTGTGAGGAGAAAAAGCATGCTTCTTAATTGGAAAGGAAATGTGATGTTATGGATCTGAATCTTTAGACCCTGTTGCTAATGAGGTTTAAGGATACGTAGTGCTTCACTTCTGTTGATATCAAAAAACAATATTAGGGTATATTCTTACTTACTGCAAAGTTAGTCTGTATAACTGGTATATGAATCTGAGCACAAAGTTCAGCCAACTGCAGGTGCACACAGCCACCCTGCAAAGCCATAAGCAAGTTACTGTCTTCTCACTGGTGCACTTACCTGCCCGTCACTAGGACACTTGAGGGCATATTCCATAGTTCTTTCTGCTGAGCAAGCTGAGCCACTCTGGGTTTCCCAGTGAATTACAGAACATGCATGTCTTTCTGAATGAATAGTGATGAGTCACAGAAAAACAGTGGAGGACTATCTGTACTTAAATAATTTGACATCAATAAAAAGGATGTCATGAATGAATGCAGAAGCTGTGTTCTTGTCAATATCCACAGCCAGGTAACCTAGTGCAGATCTGAAGCACTCAACACAATTTGTGTGTGTAGAGAAGTGTATGGCTACAGACAGTTCCCAAATAGGAATCTAAAAGAATTCTGCGGTGAACACAGATATCCAAAATAAAAGTCTATATTGTTTCAAAGACCTTATTCCACAGTGGCCCTATTGGGTGAACTCCAGTATATTCCAACAGGCATTCGAATTGGTTCTCTACTGTACCTTTTTTCCTCCTGTGTGGGAAGAAAGTCCCCATTTATTTCCAAAGCATGTTTACACAAAGACTACCTTTCATCCCTTTAGGAAGACAGACTAAGTTCCTTCAGGATCTGATAGAAGAGGAGCATGTGGAGTTGTGTTTATCATTTAGGAAGACATCCTGGGATAGGCACAGTACGGAATCAGTGCAGCACAAAAGAACAAGGCAATATTCAGGCAAATGTACCTACTTATCTGAGCAAGTAAAGATAAAGAGAAATGCAGGATGTGAGTTCTGGAGACATTCTGGGCATTTATACACATCCCTTTTTGTCCCGCAACGTGCCAAAGATCCACCGCTCCAGAGCAGACTCAATTAATTGAGTCTGCTGTGCACGCGAGTTGATGCGAACTGTGCTGTGCCACATGCAGTTGTATAAGTGTCAAAATGCATGCTAGCATGCAGAAAATGGCGGCAGTGCACTTTTGAACTGAAACACCTTTTATGTGCATTAGTTCAAAAGAGTGCCACCATCATTTTCGCAGCAATGATGCACATTCACTGCTTATACAACTGCATGCATCACAGCACTGGACACTTTGCAAAGTGCCTGGCACTGCGGTGCTTGCATGTGTAAAAATGCCCAAAAGTTCTCCATAAAAACTATTAAAAAAGAAAATCAAAGTCCTCAATTTTGGAGCACTGGTTATAGAACCAATCTTTTTCTTCTGAAAAGAAAACACAGTATTTTATATTTAAGTAGCACTACTCATCTCAAGATCTTAAGGGAGATTAATGTGATTGTGTCTTAGATGCTGCAACTGGAGGAATTTACCACTAAACCTCTGATTTAGATCTTTTGAGATTGTTGCACTTGGCTACAGAAGTGCAGACAGGATTATCCATTGCTTGGTCCTTTATATAAGGGAAATTCACTACATGCATTTCCCTTCTATGTGCAAGTACTTCTCAGTTAATTCCCCTGCAATGCTCATCTTGCTCTGAAGTATAATAGCTGCCTCAAGAGTTCTTTCAACTGTCCCTTCTATCATCCATGCTAGCCAGGAAAAAGAGAGTGCCCCTTAGTCAAAAAGCATGGAAAAATATATATTAAAATGGGCAAAATGGGCTTACTAATGCTGAAGCTATATCGACCTTCAGTTATTCATGCATATGTTTTTAAGCTAATGAATGAACTAGTCTTTATTATGTCTTAGGTCCCAAATTGACTAGACAAACAGTTGACAGCATTTTCGACTGTAGACTGGAACAAACTGAGGCAAGCCACTGTTCCAACCTGACCACCACTACTGCCCTTTCCTGCCGCCAATTCTCCCCACCCCCTGGTATGGCATAGGCAGGCTCCTCATTGCGCAGCCCTGGTACAGACAAAGCCTCCCACAGTTGCAATGCTGCCAAAGCCCCCCATTGCCAAGACACCACCAAAACCTCTAGCTCCTTGGACCAGATTCAATGACTCCACAGGATGGATCTGGCTCGCCAGCCAGCTGAACCCTGGACTAGACTGATTATTAGCAGATAGAATTTTCATGGGGAAAATATGCAAGACTGGCAGCTTCAGATTACTAGTTATTTGGCACAAGAGCGAGAAAAGTCAGTGACTGGTTGGTCTTTTCCAAAAGGCAACAGGGAATGATGCAAAATAATTTTTAAGTCACACTAATATATTCACAGCAGCAGATTGCCAACAGTTCTTTCCTTTATAAAGATATAAATATACAGATGAAATTGAGAAATGAGATGGTCACAAAATAGTCAACCCAACCTGATTATTTTTAAACAAACCATGTATAACAGGTGTCCATGCTACTTTTTCTAGAGAAGCCCTGACTAGCGTACAATAAATTAAAGCATGCAAAAGCAGTAACTTTTCAAATGTTTCAGATTATAATTTTAGTTTATTTCTAAACACTTTAAATCAGCAAGTAATCCATGGTTACACTCTACCTAGCAAATGCAAGTTAAGAACAGCTTATTTTTCTATCCCTACGTAAGACAACAGCAGCAACAATTTTATTCTGTTGCCCAGAAACATGTCTACCTCCCTTTTCCCAACCACATATTCCATTTACGTGCGTTTCTTTTTCTTTCTTTTTTTAGAGAATATCATTAAAACAAGATTTTGCCTAATACAAAACTAGGCCTCCTCTTAAACTTCAATTTAGGACCTTAAATTGCTGCTTCTTCACAATATAGTAAATAAAAAGCATGGGCCAAAAGGGGCGGAATAGTTGAAGGCATTTAACCATTCCTCCCCCTTTGGCCCATGTTTTTTATTTACTATATTTACTTGTACAAAACCTGTTAGTTGAACTTAAAAACAATCCTCTCTACCAGCCAAAAAAACCCTTTTATTATTTTTAATCAAAGTGAAAGCACAAACGAGGCTTAACACAACCACTTAACACCAAGTCATTTACTTCTCATTTAGAAGCATGTAGTAATATAATATAATATAAAGTGACCCTCCCCACACACTGACTTCCTACTTGCATCCATCCTACTAATGTAGAAAATGTACGCTGGCACACCTTACACTTCCAGCAGTTGTCTTCTGGTTCCCAGTGTGCACAGTTGAAGACTACTTCAAAGTCTACTTTTATCTGTTCTCCTATATAAGAATGACTAAAAGTCATGCAATTTATAAATGTAATCCATTTAATTTTTCATGTGCTATACTCATGACTTCCGTTTTCAACACCAAAATTTAACTGTTACTTGATCTTGCCACACTGCATCCTGCATTTCTACTCCAGGGGCCCCTATAAAACAATGTTTCATTTATAAGGTTTCAGTTCCTTATTGCCTTTTTAGAAATACACCTGAATTCCCGTGACCTTAAAAAGGCAAAGGCACCTTTAGCTAACACTGTACTTTGGGACAATATAATTCACCTTTAAGGGGAAAAAAAAAGTTTGCTTACCTGTTTCCCCTCAGACAATACACATCAAGCTAATCACTCGGACACTCAATTTTATTCTCAAAACAACTTTTATTATACTCATAATGCACCAGCAATAAGCAGCAAGTTCTTTAATTTGGTGGCTCTCCACATGGGTGTGGGACTCACCCCTCCAGCCTTCAGTAGCTTTCTTCGGAATTCCTCTGTTGGGTTGTTGAATGTGAGCTTTTCACAGCGGAGGTGATTTACAGGTGGATGGCCTTCAAGGTGCAGGAATAAGTCATAGTCAAAGCGGACTTTCTTAGGTTCTTCCTAAAGGTTAAAAAAACAGCCAGATAAATTCTACCACCACAAGCAATGACCTTGAATACAAAGGCTACGTAAAGAGTTAATTTAAAAAAGGTGTCAGCTAAAATGAGAGTAAAAATTTTTTTACTGTTGGTTAACATAAAAATTAGTGAAACTGAGGTCATTTCAGTTCATTGAAAATGTAAGTTCCTACGTAGAAACCTGAGGGGTGACTCTTCTTCACAAGTGGTAAAAAAAGGAATGGAACTGTTAAAGCATACCATATAAGAATGTCTGTCTGTGGCCTCTGCTCATTTTTTTAATCATTATTAATGACATTTCAACATACTAGATCCAGTCTATCCAACTATATTGCAACATTCAACCAGAAAAAAAAGGTATCTTGAACCCAACTTGAATGCAATTCATTTTCCCTGTATTGAGGAGTGAAACTAAATAGGTAGTAATTTTATATAAAACTTTGCAATGTTCCCTGTACCAATATGAAGAACAAAAAAAGGAGACAGATACACCCTGGAAAGGATCATCACTGCTCTATCACTTGGAGAGCTCTCCACCAAAAAAAGTCACTGATCAGACTCCAGTTTGTAACACCAGAAAAAGTAACTGAGTAAATGTTAGGTGATAGGTTTACAGTGTTCCAGCTTATTTCTCCCTTAGAAATCCCAAATGCTGTAACTGCTATAGCAGAATAAGCTTTGTGATAAGGCAGGCTTAGGCATGCCTTACTCTGTACAACCCCTTTCCTTCCCTATGCAATGTAGAACACAAGCTATCAAACAATGGAACTCTTCTAAGACAAGGTACAAATAAAAACAAATAAGAAGTTTGATTTATAAATTGTCTTTAAGCTCTCCAAGGTAAAAATAGGTAAAATTTCAGTGTATATCAAACACATCTTTTTGAACAAAACCTCCTCAGAGAAGGGAGCTGTAGGTGTGCCGTATTCAGTGACAAACGTATCATTTGCACTTGTAAAAAGATCACAAAATGTTTACTTTTGACCCAGGATTCCAAGGATATGGCCAGCAGGAAGCTTGGAAATCTTAATTATAGTCAAAGCCAAAGCAAAGATTTCAAATAAAGTCAGGTCAAGTCCTCAAAGCTGTCCTATCTCTGAACTTGAAGGAGCGGCCCATGAATAGGGGCTGGGATAAGAATCCTGCAGTAGCTTGTTTTTGAAGTCAGAGGAGAGCAGTTCCTTTTAGATGCACCAGTTGCTTGATAGACCACTTTGAAATATATCATGGATGAAGATATTAGGGTTATTTTTAGAGAAGCTAATACCCATTTTCTTGGGTAAAATGAAGTGAACTTCTACTTGGACAGAGAGCTGTAATGGTCCCATGGGCCATCAGTTAATACTGATGGGTATGCTATAAAGATGAAGTTTTAAGAATTTACAAACTGGAGTCTTCAAAGAGTTCTGCTGAAAGTTAGATGACCAGTCACTTCAAAGTAGAGAAGCACTACTACAAGAAGCATCTCTAAAAGCCATGGCTATTGTTTAATAGCAGCCCTGACAGTGAGCGCATATTGCAGTTCATCAGGCTCCCCTATGGAGTATGTAAAAATTTTAAAAATTGAATTTTCAATGTAGGGAATCCTTGGATTTAAAAACCTGTTTTTCAGGTATTAACAAGCACATCTCAATTGTTACTATCTGCACCCTGTTGCTGCAGAACACATGATGAGTTTTTCTGCATTCCTGAGATTCCTTAAAGCTTGGAATATTTTCCAGAGGGAAGAACCTATTGGATTTTCTACCAATGTCTTTTAGGCTCAGGAACAAGAATACTGTAATTCTTCGAGTCCAAGATGTAAAGCTGATGGCTTCCTGCACCCCCTTCCTTGTTCTAGATATTAGGATACTTTCCAAATCAGAAATGGAAAATTTGTCTACCTTGAATAAGTGATGACCATCTGTCTCCTCTTCCTCCTCCAATCTATCCCCTCTTTTTTCTGCATTGGAGTCACTGTGAAGCAGCTTGGGGGAGGAAGAGTAGCTGAAGCAGGAGAAAGCTGCATTTTTACTGAAGAATGATGGCTCTATTTTTGTCCCTGTTTTTCTTTAGCATGCTATCAACCCCAGAAGGGCTCCACTGATGCATCAATGTGAAGAACTGGCCAACTCACAGTCTGACTGCTGCTTGTTGCATTCCATGGCACCAAGATAGGGCTGAGGGATGTTTGCAGCTTCCTAATTCCAAATGCTGTTTGAGAGTGACGTGAGCTGTAATCATTGGAGCCTTCTTGATTTCAGTACATGCGACAACTCCTGCTGGAGATCTCTTGAGGCCTCCGCATTCAGCTAAGGCAGCCAAAAGTCTGGGTGGAAAACAAAAAAAGAAATGTCGGGCAGGAAGCCTCTGTAGAGGTGCTTCAATGAATCTCTCTTCTGACTGTCTCCCCAGTTTTGGGATGAACTCTGAACAGGAGGGAGGTTAAAGACCCAGAAAATGGGTTTCTTTTTCTATAATGCAGTCAGATTTCTTGGAATGAAACATGCTGCTTTCCTAAAGAAGACAAAGCTGAAAAAAAAGTACCCAAAAAAGCCAGTTACCCATTGAAGCAGTTTTCATTTCTTTCTTTGCCAGCAGATGAAATAAAATGAGCCCTACACTCCACAGATTGATACAGGGAACATTTCAGAATTAGGAGTCAAAACCTACAACCAAGGTGGTACCTGAGCAGTTCCTAAACTAGGATGAGCAGAATAAACATACCTTGCACCTTGACAGAACTGTCCATGGAAGGAATAGTAACATCAAAGTGCTCACTTAAAGGCATACAAAAACTCATGTAAGTGCACTTATCTATGCCACGTTTTAAAATGAGCAGGTTTTCAGCAAATAATTTGACTCTGCAGATCTATTTCCATTCTCCAACAATCTTATTTAAAAGTTCTGATAAAGTACCTATTCATTTCAAATAATGGCTTTAAATTATATTTTAGTACTAGCAGATAATTAAACAAAAACAGTAGTGAAAAGTAACAGCAGGAGCTGGTAGGTACAAAACTTGAAATACTATCAGCCTTAAAACACTGTATATTAAAATCCAAGAAACTGTGCAAACTTGGAATATTTCTGATTCTTTTTTATCTGAAAAGTTTAGACATACAGTCCATCTCACGTATACTAAAATCTCAATATTTACTGTCACAGGGTCCTGGAATAAGCACAGGAGTTATTTATGTTTAAAATGTGAAATTTCACAGTACCACTACTTAGAAGAATTGCATAAGGTCTATTTTTAAATGGAAGCTGAGAAGCTGGTAATGTTGAGTTAAAAAGAATCAATATTCACACATACTCTAACAGAACGTCCTTTCAAACTGAGATGTAGTACAAAAAGGTTCCCTTTGAAAGGCCAACAAGTGAACCAATTATAGGAAATTGGCAATATTAAATAGAACAATGGGCTCATCACAAAAATCAACAGTATCAAAATCAACTTCCTTTATTTAAGTCCAACCACCACTTTAAGAACTTCCCAAAATATGGGTTGAAAACCCTACCAGTTTCTGACAACGGGGTTTGTAATATTTCTGGATAAACTGGATATTTTACCATTAAATTCTAATGTCATATGGCAATCTTCACAAGTTACTATGCAAGTTAAAAAAAATATAGTGCAGTCATTGAGCCCAACTATATTTTAAGATTGTATTTGCCAGGATTATGAGTTGTGAATTGAAATGTGAGTATTAAAAATTGCCTACTATATTAATTTTTGTAGACAGCTGAAAAAAGGTCAGAGTACATACCTTATTTTTGAAGTAAACTTCAATTGGCAAAATGAAACCAGCATACCCAGATTCTTCAACTTTATAAGGTGGATCTTTGCACACTGAAAAAAGAAAAAGTATCTGCTTAACAACAAAAGTAATTTGCATCTAAAAGAAGACAGCAAGAACAGCCAGCAAATAACTTGTGGGATAATACTGTTAACTAATTTGATGCTGTTACTGTTCATATTTAGGAGCACATCCTGGTCCTATTGAGGTCAATGAGAGTTTTGACATTCACTTCCATACAACCAAGGCTTGCCTCCAATGCATACCTTAAGCTCATTTATTATGCATATAGATCCAGTGTGGGTAACAATGTTCCCTATTCCTCCCCTCTAGACTCCAGAGAGGAAGAAGAGTAGGTACAGAAGCCAATTGATTAAAATACGGTGGGCACACGAGACACCATAATCTAGGGCCTGATATACGAGTGGAAAATTTGCAGAACTCCATCCAGGAAAGGTAAAAAATACAAAGCATTAATGGGATGCACTTATAGAGGAGACAGACTTGCACCGTAAACACAGCATATTTCCCAAACTAAATCATCATCTACTACATACTCAGATTGAGTGCTGCTCTGAAGATGCAACTCTCTTATGAAACCATGGGGCCTCTACGCAACTGACCAATGTGTTTGTCAGGAGTAGCAAACCATGGATAATCTCCTGAGATGCTTGGTAGCACCATAATGCACCCCACAAGATTTGCAAATACCAACACCAGAAGCAGTGGCCTGCACAAAATATTGGGATCAGACCATATAGAAAGGGTGGACTGGAGACATGACAAGTCAACAATGATGACTACACACTGATAAACCAAGCATCCTAGCATATTGCAATTTGCTGCTGTCAGCAAGGTGAATTGTATTTTCAGTATTAGAGCCATATACTACTGTCCAGTAAGATACAGACTCCTACAAATAGGACAGAGATTAATATTAAAACAAAAATCCCTAAATAACATTTTCCCTTAAGTTGTCAATATGGCTCCCAATTCAAGTCAGAATACAATGCCAACATTTAAAAAAAACAAAACAAAAACAGTTAAAACGCAGGACAGAGGCTTCTTTTTTTCTATCTTTTTTATTTTGTTCACTGATTGCAGAATTCAGGACACATTAGAAAAAAAAGAGATCATGTAAAGGCAGTTCAGGCTCAGGAAACCCAGCATCTCCAGCAGAAAGTCAGATGCTTTAAAATGTTACATCGGTGTTTGTGCCAACTAATTTCCTGGGTGATTTCTATCATCTTAATTATACCATGTAAGACTGCCAGATTCTCTGTGGATGACTGGCACAGCTGATGCAGCTCCTCTGTGAAGATTCGACTTCTCTGAAATGATTAGGGTCTAGTTATATCAATGATCATTGTTACCAAATGCTTAGGTTCAGTCTGTCAGTCAATTCCTAAGGTATATTAATAGCTACTATACTGTAAGAGCTCTTTAGGAGTGCCAGAAAGGTTGCATTGCAAAAAAGGTACTTTGTGTAAAATGAATGATTTTATATGCCTTCAAGTACTATGTTATTACTGCAGGTTCTCTGTATAGTAGTAACAACCAATAAGTGTGAAATGAAGTTTACAGACCAGCAGGAGACAAGCTGCCTACCACAAATATGTTGTCTAGACATGTGGTGCTCAACCTTTTTCATATCAGGACCCATTTGTAAACATTGATGGCCAGTCTTGACCCACTGCCCCCCACTCCCAGTCCCCCGTGTGAGGTAGGGGGGTGGGTATGTTGGGCATGGGTGCCCCAAGCAGCCCCTTGCATACTGGAACTCTGCCAGCCTACAAAGGAAAAGCCATAGTTTCCTACTTTTTTCTCCCTTAAAGGAAAATCCATTTTTAAAGTTTGTTTGCAACCCTTTCATATAACTTTGTGACCCACTTTTGAGTCACGACCCATGGGTTGAGAAACACTGGTCTGGACAGCCAGAGCAATACAGGTTTCTCTTACTTTATGCGGGTTCTGTATGTGCAAATTAGCTCTTATGAGATGACATTTTTTATACCAAAAATTTGTTATATGCAAGATAAATTCACTCTTATGTGATCAGTGTGGTGGAAGCCTGCAGTCAGCAGCTTTGTGCAGTGCATTGTGGAAGTGACATGCACCAAAAGATAGTCTTCGTGTGGACCTGTGCTCCTAACTCATTGTCTGCAACACGTTTCTGTAGTTGCCATCCCCATTATGATAGTGTCCTGTGCTTGTGTGTACTTGTGCTGTTTGTTTGTACCAAAATTGTCTGGTAAAAGTGGTAGAAATGGGTCTGGGCAGTCGAGACCTCGAGGTCTCAGAACGTATCCCTATTTGTTAGACTGTAAAGTGGGTTCCCTTTACGTGAATTCAAGTTATGCGCCGTTTTCCAGGAACGCATGTACAGCATAAAGTGAGGGAAACCCATAACTGGCATTTAAGGGCTCCTACAGATGAGGGCAGAACCTATTCAAAAAATCCAGCATGTCAGAGCAGACTCAATTAATCAACTCTGCTAGAGCACAGAAACTGACACACTCCAGCAGCCTTCTGCATCACATGTATCAGCATCCCACATGTCTCTGCACTAAAAAAATGGTGGTGGGACACTCTGAAATAAAACACATTCTATGAGCTTTAGTTCAAAGCGCCCTGCACCAGGGCGGGGATGTGCAGGATGCTGATACACGTATAGCACGGGCACTTTTAATTAGCGCAGCTCACTAATTAAAGTGCCCGGTGCCACGTCCCAAAACATATGTAAAAATGCTCTAAGATGCTAATGGGTGTTCCTGGTACAGAACCTGTCAGAAAGATCTGGCTTCCAGGATAAGTGTAGTTGCTACTACACAGTTAGATGAGTGGCAAATTGGCTAGATGGTCGCACCCAGAGAGTGGTGGTGGATGGGTCATTTTCGACCTGGAGAGATGTGGGCAGTGGAGTCCCCCAGGGCTTGGTCCTGGGGCCTGTACTGTTCAACATCTTTATGAGCAATCTGGATGTGGGTGTGGAATGCACGCTGCCCAAATTCACTGATGACACCAAGATGTGGGGCGAGGTGGGTGCGCTGGAGGGGAGGGACAGAATCCAGCTTGAGCTAGACAGGTTACAGAGGTGGGCGGATGAGAATAGGATGAAATTCAACGCAGCCAAATGCAGGGTACTGCATCTAGGGAGAAGGAACCAGCAACACACCTATAGGCTGAGGAACAACCTTCTTGTCAACACAGTGGCAGAAAGGGATCTTGGATTCACTGTTGACTCCAGGATGAACATGAGCCGCCAATGCGAGGAAGTGGTCAGTAAGGCTAATCGCACCTTGTCGTGCATCTACAGATGCATTACAAGCAGGTCCAGGGAGGTGATCCTTCACCTCTACGCAGCATTGGTCAGCCACAGTTGGAGTACTGTGTCCAGTTCTGCACACCACACTTCAAGAGGGATGTGACTAGCATTGAGAGGGTACAGAGGAGGGCCACTCATATGGTCAAGGGGCAGCAGGTCAGGCCCTATGAAGAGAAGCTAAAGGGCCCGAATCTATTCAGCCTCCACAAAAGGAGGAGAGGGGATCTGGTGGCTGTTTACAAACTCACCAGGGGGGACCAGTGGAAATTGGGTGAGGCTCTGTTCCCTCAGGAACCACCAGGGGTTACTAGGAATAACAACCACAAATTGTTAGAGAAAAGGTTCAGGCTGGACATCAGGAGATACTACTTTACAGTTAGGGCTGGAATGGACTCCCAAGGGAGGTGGTGCTCTCTCCTACCTTGGGGGTCTTTAAGAGGAGGCTGGATAGATATTTGGCTGGGGTGTTATGACCCCGGCACTCATTCCTGCCCAGGACAGGGGGTCAGACCTGATACTTTGTTTAGGTCCCTTCCGACCCTAAACACTATGAAACTACTACAACCTAAAGGGAAGTGAAGCAGGTGCTTTCTCATGTATTACTAGGCAAACTCTGCTGCTTGCTGTACAACAGGATAGAGCCACAGTCCCTTTTCCTGTGGGGTGACTGGCATAGCTAGCCCCATGCTGTTCTTTGCCAACAGCCTGTGAAGGGCATGCAAGGATAAGGAAGGTTCTATGCAATGCTGCTTCCCTTCCTCTCTAGCTGTGCAGCCTCACAATCTGGTTTAGGGGTGATGGATAGGAGAAGGGATGGCATGGAAATCATCAGGAATAAACTATAGTATTTTACATTTGTTGCATTTATTCTGTTATTTCCTCCTTCCCCCCAATCTTTATTTGAAAGAGAGATTGGCAGGAAAAAAGAGAAATATAGTTTTAAAATGTCCCTTAGCAGAGCTGCTCCATAAGAAAGATTTTGAAGGACAGCATTTAGGCATGATAGAGTATGGGGGTGGAAGGAGGGTCACAGGGGGCTTTTAAGCTTCGCTCTCAGCCTCTTACTTGAAAATGCGCAGAGGCGGTATTCCACATAACACATATGTGCGGGCCGGCTCCCGGGCCCGTCCTCGCCGGGCGCAAGCC